AAAAGGAGTACTTGTGGCACCTTAGAGACTAACAAATAAATTGGTTAGTCTCTAAGGTGCCACAAGTACTCCTTTTCTTTTTGCGAATACAGACTAACACGGCTGCTACTCTGAAACCTCTCCTTGCAATGTGTATGATAAACAACCATTTTTGCATGGTCTGTGTGTATATAAAATCTCCCCACTGTATTTTCCACTTTATGCATCCGATGAGGTGAGCTGTAGCTCACGAAAGCTTATGCTCAAATAAATTGGTTAGTCTCTAAGGTGCCACAAGTCCTCCTTTTCTTATTACTGATGTAGTCATACCAGGTGAGGACTGTCAATAGGGCATTAGGAACTTGATGGCTCCCATTGACCAGGACAATTGGCTGCAAATGGCCTTGTTTACCTGAAAACCTTCCTGTGTATTCCTGATAGAGAGATATGCACAACTGTTTGCCTCCCCAGGTAACAATGACTACACTGCTTTACTGAGTTCTGCCAAACACAGTCATCTCTGCTATTACAGTAGCCAGGAGTCGAAGTAGCCAGGATGGGTGGATAACCCTGATCACATGATGCAAATGTCACTCTGCCCTTATGTCTTTTCTCAGTAAGTTGTCAGGTTCCCTTGCCTGGGTGACTGCCTGAGAGGATTTATGCTGGAGATTAGGGCTTTAATCAGAGGTGCTTTGTTTTCAGTAACTTATTATGGGGCAGGCGATTGCGAATGCTCCCCACCTCCCCAACTTATGAAGATCATTTTTAGTTGGTGGTTCAGAAGGGGAAGCTTTTTACGGCCAGACCTCGCAGGCAGCCTCATCTGGTTTAGGCGAGCATCGTCACAGAGGATCGTTGCGTCACTTTGTGGTCAAGTTGCTCCACCGGATGATGCAAGCACCGCCACTGGTAAACCAAAGCGTTTCCCTTCAAAAGGCTGAAAAAACTCCCATAGATCCCATTAAACCACTGATCGCGAAGGCTGGACGCATTCAGCACCGTCGACTAAATGTGAGCAAAGTTGTCCGATGTGTACGCCGCCCTTACTTCTGCACCGCTGCTGGCGGCCAGGGCGGGATTAACGCAGGGGCTGCAGCCCAGGACCCGGGCTAAGGGGCCCACGGCGGAAAGACCTCCGGGTGGCCCAAAGTGCGGATCTTTTTGTGAGGCCCCCTTATCCCAGGCCCTGGGCTGCAGCCACTAAAGACCCTGGGTTTCAGACCTGCCTGGCGCGGGTGGGGGAGAGGTGGCCCCGCAGGCTGCTGTTCCTCCCCACCTGGGCTGGAGCCGCGTTGCCGTGAGTGCCGGGAAGCTAGTCCGTCCCCGCGCTGCCCTTGCCTGCAGGCTCCACCCCCACAGCTCCCATTGGCCGGGGCCCCCACACACTCTAATGGCCCCGGGCCCCCAGAAGAGCTAATCCGGCCCTGCTGGCGGCAGCGCTGCCTTCCGAGCTGGGGTCCGGCCGCGACGGCTGCTCCCCGGCGGCTCGGCTCTGAAGGCAGCGCCGTTGCCAGCAGCAGCGCAGAGGTAAGGGTGGCAATGGCGATACCGTGCCCCCTTCACTTTCCCGTAACATTGACCTTTGCGCAGGGAGGGGTGGCTACGGGAGGGCTAAGGCAAATTTGAGGGTGGCTATAGCCCCCGCACCCCCCCCACCACCCCTGCCACTGCACCAGAAAAGGAGCACCTTTCCCCCACCTCACTTTTCCCTTCTTCTATGTCCTCTTTGCTCCTTAAGGCGTGACACATCTCTTGGGGGGACGGGGTGGGGACCATACTTTAAAAGCAGGGCTGTCTGATTATCATCCAGGCCTCTTATAGACATTCCTGCAGACACTTGTACTGGGATCCCTGTGGAGCCCCCAAAGGGTTTTGCTGCTTTCCTTTGCTGATCTTACGTGGTTCAGTCACTCCCAGCACCGAAGTGCCCGGTCAGTGATATCCAATGGCAGTTTCAGCTCTGTCCTGCCGGGGGGCACCTGAGCAGCGCTTAAGTCTGAGGCTCTCAGTTGAGGCTTCTGCTCTCATGTTAGTCAGCGTCTTTCGCGGCTTCGAATAGAAGCTGGAGTGCACACTCTGGACTGGCAGCAGGCGCTATGCAGCGCTTTTGCTGTTCCCAAGGGATAAGCAGCTGGTTACTCACACAGCTGAAGCTGCAGCCTTTATGGGAAGCCAGAAGCAGCTAGAACAGCCTTGTCTCTTCCGTTTATTTCTCTGAGTAGGATTCCCTTTAATAAGCCTTTTTGTCTGTTTTGCTCTGAGGGTTGCTGTTTGGGGTCTGCTATTAAGCACTATACGCTCAGTTGATTTTATAATTCAAACACTTCCCCAGGATTCAGCAGCAGTAACACTCTAACCCCACACTCTTTTCCTAGGATATGTCTCTATTTTATTTTATTTACGCATCCCAACTACAGTTACAGTAAAGGACTAACTTCACTCTCTGAATCAGCCATTTGGAAACAAACCAAAGAAAATACCCATTACTGTGACAGTCTGTATTCCTATGTTGACCCCTTTCACAAGACTATGATAAATATTGTACTAAGTGTGCCTTGTTAAGTAACATTTACAAACGTATAATCTGCTGAACATTATTGTCCTGGTAAAATATCTGTGGCATCATTGTATGTAAAGTTATAAAATTCTACTGTACGAGACTGTGACAAAGTGGGAATTATCTTAATCTTTTGTATGAATGCTCTGCGTGTGCCGCAGTTTCACTGATGTGTTGCACAAGTATCTAGGTGGTGGGACAAGGGTGTGTGATCCTTGCAGAGATCCCTAGAGAGCAGGTGTGACTGCCGGCTGGCTGCCTGGGCTCAGACAATGGCCAGACACTCTGTTTCCAGGCAGCTAATGGCTGGGGCCCATCCTCTGCAAGAGCCAGCTGGAGGAGTTGGAGAAAAAAGAGAGGTGGAGGTCAGCTGACCAGTTTGCCCGGGAAAGAGACAAAGGATGGAGAAGGGGCAACAGGATATGACTGAGGGTGGGCTGCTGAAAGACAGTCAGTCTCCTGGGTCTTAGGGTGGAGAGTGCTGGATCCCCCCCCAAAAGACGGACTTTGCTGAATGTTCCTAATTTCTGTGCTAACAGGCTCTGTTCTACGCTGGGTCCCGACGACTAATAACCCGTCTGTGTCCCACGCTGGCTGAGAGTCACTACTGGATATGGAGCTGGGCTGTGTGAGCCTTTGGGGTGCATGTAAGTCTTCCCCAGGTTTCCTATCCAGGTGGACTCACTGTGGGGAGCTCACGGTATGAAACAAGGTGCTGAAAGTTCTGAGGTCAGACCCGGGAGGCGCTGAAGCCAAGGGGGCTTCTTGCCCTAGTGAGCATAAGCCCTGAGGGGTTGTCACACTGCAAGAGAGACCTGTCTGAACATCATTCAGAGTGGTTCTGGAGCACCAAGCCTATGCACTCGGTGACAAAGATATATTTCAAGTCTGGGGAAACAGCTTCAAACCAGTTCCCCAGAGACAAAAGGCTAGCCAACCCCTCAGCCAGGTGTCAAAACAATCAAATGGACCATAACCTGATTAAGTGGCCATTCTTCAGCAGGAAAAGGGTGTGAGTGAGAAATTTACATCTTGGCAAAGTAACAGCTGGAGGTTCCTGTCCCAACAGACTGTCACCTGGACCCCAGCTGGAGACGATTCTCAAAGAGGAGGGAAAACTATAAGAAAGGGGAACAGATGCCCCCAAAAGACTCCTCCCTTTCTCTCTGCTCATGGGATCAACAACACCCGAATGACAAGGAGAGTAACACTGGATGGCAGGAGGGGCCCTGGCTGACCTTTGTTTTTAATTCACTTAGCTCGTTAAGTTAGATGTTGTTTTCTACCTTTTATTTTCCTTGTAACCAATTCTGACTTTTATGCCTCATTACTTGTAATCACTTAATTTTTTTTCCTTTTTTGTAGTTAATAAATTCGTTTGATCTAAACCGGTGTGTTTGGACTGAAGTGTTTGGGAAACTCCATTTGGGATAACAGGATTTCTGCATATTATTTTCTGTTAATGAAATGACGGACTTCATACGAGCTTGGGTTGTCCAGGAGGGTGCTGGGCAGTACAAGAGGCACATTTCCAGGGGAACGTCTGGGACCGGGAGTTTGCGGGTGCCATGTAATTCCTGAGTGGCTGGCCATAGCACTCAGACGCTATAGCTGGGAGGGATTTACATGCTGGGGGCTGTGTGAGAGCAGACCAGGAGTGGTGGCTCTCACAGCAAAGCAGCGTAAAAGCCACCCCAGACTGGAGAATTGAGGGGATACAGCTGTCCATCTCCCCAGATTGTACCCTGGGCAATGTCGCAGTGGCGCAGCGAGTAGCAGGGTATATCATGTTATAGAATTCTCCTAGGCTGTCACTTGTACAGTTACTGCATAAATATTCATCACATTTCACCGGCCTTCATACTCAGTAAACACAGGGAAGGGATCACTTCCCATTCTCTCTTCCTTGTGAATTTCCCAGCTGCATTTACTAACTGTGTTATTTGTTGCAATTCCTAAATCCAGAACAGAAAAGGTCCCCTAGTAGGTGCTCCTGTATTCAATACCACCAATATGCACATCAATAAATTGTTCTAAGCATTTACCTTTTAGGTCAGGTTTCAGAGTGGTAACTGTGTTAGTCTGTATCAGCAAAAACAACAAGGAGTCCTTGTGGCACCTTAAAGACTAACAAATTTATTTGGGCATAAGCTTTCATGGGCTAAAACCCACTTCATCAGATGCAAGCTTTCTTACTTCCCTATAGCTCATTATGACTGTTAAAGTCTCCACAAATTATGAATTAACTAATTTTTCTAGTTCTAAAATAACAAATTTTTATATGGATTATAAACATTATACATCTATTTATAAGTATTTTTGTTCTGCACGGGAATTTCAATAGCATTATATTCAAAACTTGGTTTCTGCACATCCATTTAAACATAGCTAAGTTCCTCTTTTATAAATATACAGACTGCCCCCCCTCACCCCCCCGCACATCCTCTGGTAGCCTCTCAGTCTCTCCGGAGTACATCATATCCTGATAGGTTGAACTGAACTTTACTTATTAGCCATGTTTATTGCACACATATTACATTATGTGTAATGTATTTTTCCCATTTCAAATATGGCTTTCTTAACAGCTGTCTAGAAGTTTTTTCAGGGAGCTGTATCTCTTGAACCTCTAGGTCAAATGACCCCAAATTCGGACCACTGCCCCTACCCCACAATCCCATGAGGCACACCATATTTCAAGGCAATCTGTGTAGCTGTGCAGATTTTAGAGCTTAGAAGAGTCAAGGTTAAAATCAAGTATCGGGGGTAGCCATGTTAGTCTGTATCCACAAAAACAACCAGGAGTCCGGTGGTACCTTAAAGACTAACAGATTTATTTGGGCATAAGCTTTCATGAGTAAAAAAGCCCACTTCTTCAGATGCATCTCCTCATTGTTTTTAAGGTTAAAATCAGCTCAACTATACCAGATGGCGCAGTCTGCTCTCAGAATGGAGGGGATGAGAGTGGAGGTGAGGAAGATCAGGCGGTGGGATGGGAAAATGAACTTTTAAATATCTTCCTCTCTCTGTTCTCCAGCTAGGATCTGCCCTCCCCCCAAAAAAAGTATTTGAACAAATTTCTATTCTAACTATGGTGACCTCTTAGCTTCAAGGGCTTCTCTGATTTGCTTCAGTTTTGATGGAACATAAACAGAAGAACATTCTGAGGTTTCTCTGCATGGCAAAGGGCTAGAGATTTGCTTTTTATTTAAATAGAAAGCTTGGGTCTCCAGGAGTTATTTGACACCTCTCTGCCTTAGAGGAGCGTTTCTAGTTACACAATTAACAGCATTCCACATTTATGTTGTAATGGAGTCATCTTTGGTTTTGTGCACTTGGTCTCAGTGAGGGGAGTGCTGTAAACAGAGTTCTCTCTTCTGGCTTGTCTGGTACAAAGTGATGACAAAAGATGAAGAAAGTGAAACTGCTTTGAACTCTGGTGAACACTGTGGCATGGTCCCTCTGCCATGTACATTGGCCAGACCAGACAGTCTCTACGCAAAAGAATAAATGGACACAAATCAGACAACAAGAATTGTAACATTCAAAAACCAGTCGGAGAACACTTCAACCTCCCTGGCCATTCAATAACAGACTTGGAAGTGGCCATTCTTCAACAACAAAAACTTTCAAAAACAGACTCCAACGAGAAACTGCAGAACTGGAATTAATTTGCAAACTGGACACCATCAAATTAGGCCTGAATAAAGACTGGAGAGGATGGGTCACTACAAGAATTAAAAACTAATTTCCCCATGCTAATTTTCCCCTAGTGTTACTCACACCTTCTTGTCAACTCTTTGAAATGGGCCACCCTGATTACCACTACAAAAGTGATTTTTTGTCCTCTTGATAATAGCCCACTTTAATTGAATTGTCTCGACCCCCCACTTGGTAAGACAACTCCCATCTTTTCATGTACTGTGTATATATATCTTCCTTCTGTATTTTCCACTCCATGCATCTGCTGAAGTGGGTTTTAGCCCACGAAAGCTTATGCCCAAATAAATTTGTTAGTCTCTAAGATGCCCCAAGGACACCGCGTTGTTTTTGCTGGTACAGAGTAACACGGCTACCCCTCCGAAAACTTTGTGTGTTGTTTTGCTTTGTTAGTGTTTGTTGGATGCCTGAATTAGGACACACTTGTCTGCATCATTTCGGATATGGTAGAACATTGATATAGTAGACACTAAGACAGGGGTGGGCAAACTACAGCCTGCGGGCTGGATCCGGCCCATCAGGGCTTTGGATCTGACCCGTGGGATTGCCACCCCTTGTGGTGCTTGGGGCCCGAGCTGCTCCCAGAAGCAGCCGCCACCACGTCCCTGCAGCCCCTAGGGCGGTGGCGGGGGGGAGAGGGCTCAGCATGCTGCCCTCACCTGTGGGTACCTTCCACCCCCCTGCAGCTCCCATTGGCTGGGAATGGGGAACCGCGGACAATGGGAGTTCGGGGGAGGTACCTGCAGGCGAGGGCAGCACGTGGAGCCCTCTGCCCCCGCGGCCGCAGGGACGTGGTGCTGGCCACTTCTGGGAGCGTCGCGGCATGGGGCCAGGGCAGGCAGGGAGCCTGCGTTAGCCCTGCTGCGCACCATTGCCACCCCGGAGCCACTCCAGGTAAGTGGTGCCGGGCCGGAGCCTGCACCCCGAACCCCTCCTGCACCCTGCACCCCAACCCCCTGCTGCACCCCTCCTGCACCCCAAACCCCTGCCCTGAGCCCCCTCATACACCCCACACTCCCTGCCACACCCCAACACCCTGCCCCAACCCTACATTCATGGCCCTGCATGCAATTTCCCCACCCAGATGTGGCCCTTGGGCAAAAAAGTTTGCCCACCCCTGCACTAAGGTTTTGTCTACTCTACGCTACACAGCTTTTAGTGACAGGGCCGCTCAGGCTTGTTTCTCGCAGCAGGAAAGATTCCAGGGGGTCATTCAGCAGCGCTGCTCTTGCAGCCGGATCCTTCCAAAGCTGGGCTGGCTGTGGGGATAATTATCCCCTGGATAGGCCTGAGCAGGCCTGCGTCCCCTGGTGTCCCAGCCAGGGGCTCGTTCCTGCCGTTGAACATGTCGCAATGTGAAGGTGGGGTCAGAGCAGGATGAAATCTGCACCAGGCGACTTCTGACCTAAGCCCAGAGCTTGGGATCCTGCCCCGGAGTGGGCTTGTTTCAGGAATGCAAAGATGCTGCAGAGGCTCCCAGCCCTGCTATTGGCTCTGCCAGATACAGCTCTGCATTCCTATTGGCTGAGCAGAGAGTAGGCCAGTGGGGGGGTATGAAATTTGAGGGGGGGGGAGCCCCTCTCCCCCCCACTGTGTCTTTCCATCCCCCTCAGCATCTGGCTGGGGGGGAAGGCGGGGGCTGTTTGGCAGTGGGGAGTATCGGGGGCCCCCCACCCCAATGCACTGAGCTGTCCCCTCTCTCGGCTGCTGGCGGCAGGGTGTGGGGGGGCTGCTTGGCACTGACCTGTCCCCCCCTCATCTCCGCTGTCCCGGCTAGGAGCCCCTTCTCCCCCCGCCCCCCAGCCCATTGCAGGCTGCTCCCCACGCTCCGTCTGTGGCTGCGCAGGGCGGGGTTTGCTCGGTATTCGCTGGGATGGGGGAAGGGCGGATTTCAATGGTGGGGGTGGCCCTTTGCCGTTGATGCAGAAGGAATGGGAAGTTTTATGGCGATACATATTTATAGGAATACATTTCAGAGTAGCAGCCGTGTTAGTCTGTATCCGCAAAAAGAACAGGAGGACTTGTGGCACCTTAGAGACTAACCAATTTATTTGAGCATAAGCTTCCGTGAGCTACAGGAATGCATCCGATGAAGTGAGCTGTAGCTCACGAAAGCTTATGCTCAAATAAATTGGTTAGTCTCTACAGTGCCACTAGTCCTCCTTTTCTTTTTATAGGAATACGTGTCCCTGCAAGTCTATGGGGCCTCGCTGTGTTACCCTGGAGTTGTTAATTAGAAAGTAATTAAGGTTGTTCTGAATTAGCTTTGTGCTGGGGGGTTGCCGGGAGTTTTTGCTGCATAGTTTTTATTTTGCCTTTTTGGCTTTATTTTTACTTAATCGGGGGGTGGGGGGTGGATGCCTTTGCTTTAGGGTGTAAATTTGCTTTTTTTAACTGTTTGAATGACCCTGATAGATCGGTTGGTGCTTTCTGAATTTTTGCTTTTTTATTTCTTTTGTTTATTTGGTTTTTTTTTATTTGTTAGCATATTCTATGTTTTTCTTTATCTATATAAAAAGTAAATAATTTTAAAAGCAAGACTTTTTGCAGAGCAAAGTTCTTTACAGAAGCAAGCAGAGCCAAACAAAAGCTAAATGCACTTTCTTAGAACAATGTTTTATTATTAATTTTTTGGGCTAATTTAAAATACAGCATCTTTGTTATTATTTACAGTAATGATTGCAATTAGTATTTAAAACAACTTTTGTTAGGCCTTTGGGCTTCCGCTGTAACCTGCTAGGCTTTTGGGCTTACCGTGAGTTTTTAATTTGACCCTTTAATATTAATATATTAAATGGGTCACATTTTATTTAATTGTTTTAAAGCCATGTATTGTGAAGCAATTTAGGGTTGTGGCTTTAATTTAAGATACTTTTTTTTATTTTACAGCATACACAACACATTATAACAAACGTGCTAATTAATACAAAATAATTATAGGGTTGATTATAATATAATACCAGCCTTTGAAGATGTTATACCAATGGTGTATTATTATTTGTTGGGGTCGTGTGGATACTTTTAGAATTTTATTTTCTGGGGCAGAATGGCGAGGCTTTGTGTTAGTATTTATGTTTTGGTTGCTGCAGGTAATTGACTGATTTCTTTGGTTTTTGCTAGCTATTGGTATGAGGCAATTTAATTAACCCCAAAGAGAAATGAAAACTTATCGCATTGCTGAAATTTGTTAGGTTAATATTTTTATTTTTATGAACTGGAAACCATAATGAGTTATGGTAGGGGTTTGTCGTATTGTTATATTACTTATATACTGTTGTACAGGTGGCTTTTGAGTAGATATTTTTTGCTATATCTTTTTTTAATTTAATAATTTAAATATATTTTTATGATGTATTTTGGTGGTGCTGTTATTGAACGTGTTTTAGTAATATGTTGCTAATTTTTTATTATGCATGGAGCAAGGGTTTTTTTTTAAATTGGCAAGGTGGGGCATATTTATTGCCTGGTAGTTTATTTTTTATAGTTACGGTGATTAATAATTTTGTTTATTTATGTATATTTTTATTAATTTTGGGGCTTAGATATGCTTTTTTTTTTTTTTTTTTAATCAGAGGGGCGGCCGTGTTAGTCTGGATCTGTAAAAGCGGCAGAGAGTCCTGGGGCACCTGATAGACTAACAGACGTATTGGAGCAGGAGCTTCCGTGGGTGAATACATGCCATGCAGCCGACGAAGGGGGCATTCACCCACGAGAGCTCCTGCTCCAAGACGTCTGTCAGGTGCCACAGGACTCTGCCTTTTTTTTGGTAGAGTTGGGAGGGGTTGGAAAGACCACATGGTGTGTAGGTGTGTGGATGGTTGAACGCGTTGCGTATGGTGATGTGTTTTGTTAGGGTATTTGTTTGCACGTATTGTTAGAAAATAGATATTCAGGCCTGTCTGTAAAGGCCTAAACTTTAAGACCTTAGGTGTATTTTTATCACTTAGCTAGTTACAGGGGTATAAAACCAAAGAATCAATATCACAGTCTGCCTGTGTGTGGGCCTTCTCTCACTGCGCTAGTCTGAGGCCTTGTTCTTAGGCTAAGCAGCAGGGGCAGCCCTAAGCTGGGAAGCGACCGGTCACCTCCTCACATCCCAAACCAGTCACGCTGAAAGAAGGTAAAATTAGGCTGTTACGCAGTAGCCGTGTGAGTCTGTATCAGCAAAAACAATGAGGAGCCCTTGCAGCACCTTAGAGACTAATATGCTGATTTGGGCCTAAGCTTTCGTGGGCTCCTCTTTTTAATTTTTTTTTTTTTTGCTGTTAAGAAGGCGATCCCATCTAACACCTCCAGAGAAAGACAAGATCCTAGAAGGTTTAAAGAAAACGCAGTGTGAGAGCTTTCTGCCTACCAAGAACTCACTTATCAACGGTTGTGGTTGTGAAACCCTCATTTCTTTATTGTTTTGTCTTTATGGTCCCCACTTTTCTATTGTTTGTCTGTCTGGTCTCTGTCTGGATCTTTAATTGTTTCTGTCTGCCGTATAATTAATTTTGCTAGGTATAAATCAATTAAGATAGTGGGATATAGTTGGTCAGAGAATTATGTTACAATATGCTAGGATTGGTTAGTGACATTTCAGTAAAATGATTGGCTAAGCAGAACTCAAGTTTTACCATATAGACTGAGGTCAAACAGGAAGTGGGGGGAGGAAACTGGAATCATGTTTTGCTAAGGGGGGGGAATGGGAACAGGGACACAGGCAAGGCTCTGGGGCATCAGAGCTGGGAAGTGGGTGTGACGCAGCAGGGATGGGGGAGTGTTGACCTGG